ACCCATTACTCCAACAAAAGTCGGACCTAAGCCGTTAAGTTTACGAGACAAACCTGTTGTCCCTTAAGTTATTGACAAGGGGTCTAGTGGTCCATGCGTTGTAACCTTCGTCAATTTGCAATTCATACCGCCACCATAGACACAACCAAGCTATGTTATCGGCGAGTATTCATCTTCATACCTCACCTGGCGGACATGACTGGTCGCGATTTCTCACTAGAATTTATGGGTTATTAGAATCATTCCAAGCAACCAGACGACCAACAGGCGTAACCAAAATTACTTGGATTCGACCCTTTATGAGTTTATCAGTGCACACTGCTAAAGTGTTCGAAACTTGAACAGGAAAGCTGTCCAATATCCTCTGGTTTTCAACGCCTTTCTAAATAATGTCAATCCATGACAAAACTAGAAATTTTATGCCATTAACTTTACTGAAACAAATTAGTGTCACTCTGTATTTTGCATTACAACGCCATACTTCTTAAGTATTTTAGTTTTCATCAAATAAATCCTTAAGTTAAGCGATAAAGCCACATATAGCTTTAGTTTCTCCTCTTACCTATATCTGTATTCTGACAGGAGAATGAATTAGGAGTAATTTATTTTTTTCCTTCACGTTCCCAGTGGAACATAGGGCTTCAAGTTAGTGGCTTGAAGTTTCTGTAGCGGTGTTTAATTTTACAGGATGAGGTTGCTAGCCTCATGCCCAACCTTCCCTCTTTACCAGCATTATTTCTGGCTTAGCGAGGTAAAGGAGTGCGTCGGCCGGGAATCGAACACCGGACCATGTGCATGGTCGGCGAGCGTACTAACCGCTATGTCACCGACGCAAAAGTTAGAAGTAATATCACTATATATTTCAAATATTTATGAGACTCTGGAAGAAACATTTTAAATTGTGAAGAATACCCATCAGGATATGGGAGAGAAGGGAATAAGAAGCTCATCCAAGATTTCTTCCCGGCGATTTTATCTTCAAAAGATGTACAATCGCATTTACATGAGTAAGTTTACATCTCACGTTATAATGAAGCACACCAAAGGTAGTAATCATTTTCAACCTGATATGAAAGTCAGAAAGCAGAAATATAGATTTTAAGGGGCTCAGAAACAGAACTGGAGAGAATTAGAAAATACTTGCATGATGTGATGAAAATTATTATCACCTTTGATACATAGCGTTATATTGTGAAATGTAGTATTAATTCTATATATGTGAACGAATGTATATATGTGCAATCGTACAGCCTTTGAAGATGAAATCGCTAAAATGATATTTTTGCCGGGCTTTTTTTTCTTTTTTGTCCAGTGTCCTGATGGTTATTTTTCATGATGTGTAATAGTGTAAGGACCCCTTGGTAGGGAAGAAACTCAATGGGTTTCTCTGTCACACTTGAAGAAGTGAATGCAAATTCCGATCTTTTGGAATCATGAATATCCGAAGTGGTTTCGGAAGGTGCTCAGGAAGCATCATATATATTCTAATTCCGAATCTCTTTAACGCCACGCTAGAAACCCCAGTGATTTGCGTATGTTTGGGCGGCAGCGAAATATACCACAGAGGTCTTCTGCTGTTTGAGCACGCCAGGTTGATGCAAAGCAAATGAGACGAGAATTTTAAATCCTACATGAACAAAAGCCGCAAATTTGTCGAAGTCTAAAGGAGATTCCCCGGTGATCCTAATAAATTTGTTTCCAGTCAGTTTCTGTCGACGTTACAGTTAGAATCCTTATCATTAGGACTGAAGTTTAGCGACGTAAATTTAAATAACAGTAGACTCCATACAGTTGTCCAGTTCGAGAATCTTATCAGTCAAAAAGCAATGATACCACAATCTCTGACACAGAGTTCTTACATTTCGACTCAACATTCTTTGACTACTATAATCAGTATATCAGCTCGAAAACTAAAGTTCGACGCTTTCTAACGAAGGAACACAAATAGCAGCCCAAAGAAATGAGAAACAGTAAAGATTTGTAAATTACATATGCCTATAAATGAGATCATACAGATTTTGAGGATGCATTCACCAGAGATAAATTCTTTGCTGGGCTTCTTGAACAAGGTAATTTTTTGTCACCCAGAAAACGACTAAAAGTCATATATTATAGGACACCGCTGAAGTGGATGGTTTCATAATTAGGCATTGTATGAAAAAACATCAGATGAAATGTCTTTAATCCCATTGACATAATATCCTATGCTTTATCGTTTAAAATGTTTGATATTTTGTTAGGGAATTTGAGCTAAGAGTATAACAAATAACTGCTTTTGTGGGGTATTCCGTAGTTGTTAGTATTAAACAAGAAAAGTGGTCATCACTTTTTATGGTGAGATCTCACAATTTATCTGTGCCTTTGTAGCACCTAAATCCGATTTTATTCTGCTTTAACCATTTTACTGGATAAAGTTAATGTGAAGGCAGAGAATATTGTAAAATGACAAATGTTCGCTCAACACATGTTACTGTCCACATGGCTGAATCGTTATTATGAATGAAAGATTGTTCATTACTTTTTAAAGTCATATTCTAATCGCTTGATGGTTGTTCATTCAAAATTAAGTTGAAGAAGGTACCTGTTACTAATTTTCTGAAAGCTCAGAGTATTTCAAAGGTCCTTTATGCATCTTCAAGCAATTTATATTTGAACACACAGTGACCATGTGTGAAATAGCTGTATTTAACTGCATCTTTTGAGTACAAACTGGTTTGATAGTGTGAAATATTCCCATATTATGAATTAAAAGGCAATCAGAACGAAGAATATCCTTTTCAATAATTTCTCCTCAGGTTCTTACAATTAAAAAATATAATATTTGTGGTCGTTACAATAAAGGCCAGTTATGCGGCGGATACATTTTTAACGTAGAATAACAGATTAGTTATGGGGTGTCAAAATAAATAGTCGTATTTGTGTGACAAACGCGCTAGGCTGAAATCGATTAAAAATATTGTAAAACGGGAGACAATGGTGGTGATTAAAAAATCATAGTAGAATTGTAGAATGTGGGGTAGGAAAATTGACAAATCACTTCAAGGTTACAAGTCTCCTGCATATAGCTGAAGCTGTTGCAATAAGATCCACTAAATCGGAACTTCGTATCCAAAAAGAACACGTCCAGACGCTGTTCCTACCGTGGCCAAACTTGGATTGATGATTTTTCTTCTCACCAAGAGTGCTGCTTCCCCTTAACCCTCTTGGTTTTTTTACTTTGCTTATTACAAATATTGTTATACAGTTACTATTATTATTATTATTCGTCATAATTTATGCCCTTCATGCAAACATTCCCTCAATACTATCGAATTTTTCATTTATACGGACTTATTATTCGTGATATTATCTGTCTTCTCAATATACACCTCCACCTGTTTCATTCAACATATTCGTTATCTCACTATGAGCCTCTCGTTCCAGTCTTATTATATCAACTGTTTAACACAGACCACTTTGTACTAGCGACTCACCTGACACCTTCAATAACCTTGAAGTGATTTGTCAATTTTCCTACCCCACATTCTACAATTCTACTAAAAATGATTAATCACCACCATTGTCTCCCGTTTTACAATATTTGTAATCGATTTCAGCCTAGCGCGTTTGTCACACAAATACGACTATTTATTTTGACACCCCATAACTAATCTGTTATTCTACGTTAAAAATGTATCCGCCGCATAACTGGCCTTTATTGTAACGACCACAAATATTATAATTTTTAATTGTAAGAACCTGAGGAGAAATTATTGAAAAGGATATTCTTTGTTCTGATTGACAAGCTGGTTTGATTAGTCGACAAGTGATGATGAAAATAACTAAACTTCCTTGAATACGTGGAACTACGAAATCATTTTTATATTCATTTAAAAGTAAACTTCTTCGGTTCAAATGAACTGTCGTCAAGATTTGACAGAATAGTTCTAAAATATCTGGGCGCCGAGTGAGAAGCAGACATCTGTAAAAAAATATTATATTTGTAATTCTCAACGAGATTGGAATCAGTAATTTCAACTTTTCATTTGGCAATCTGGTCCTAACTTTTTCAGGGAAATTAATCGAACTTAACATAATAGAGGTTTATATATAAAAGGAACATCTCTTGTTTTGGAAACTTTGTCCAATCATGAGTCATAAAACAAGTATTAACAAGTATAATAAACAAAATTGTATGTGCTGTGATCAAAACTTGACCTCAGACTTACAAATATTGATCTACCTTTGTTAAACACTTTAAACACAGTGCGGGTAAACAGCTGTAAAACATTTCTTAACGTATCCATTACAAGACAGAGACAGTCAGGAATTTTGTCCAAGTGTCATTAGTTAGTGATACATATCCATTCTTATTTATTAATCAGGATTTCCTATGCATCGCCTAACATCACACCTTCATGTCTGTTTAAACTGTTAGTACCTAGAATTTTATGATTAGACGTATTTTCAAAATTATGGTGTTTAGGATTAGAGTTTAGTTGCAGCACCCTGTTAAACTTATTATTTTGTATTCTTTTTGAAGATTGAGCTACTTTACTGGACCTACTGGATTTTTCAGGTGATTGAACAGCTACAGATTTAGGATACACATTCTGTTGCAGACAACGGAGAGTGAAAGCACGATGATTGTGCCAATTACATAGTTTCTTTGTTAATTTAATTCGATTGCAGAATAATTCAAATGATGAACTGTCGTCGAGGTTTGACAGAATACTTCTAAAATATTTGGGTTCCGAATGAGAAGTAGATTTAAGTCATCCCAAGTAGGAAGAAATGAGCCTTTTATATCCCACTGCTAGTTATCGTTCATACTAGATGCTGACATGTAAATAAGGGGAATCAAAAATTCACCAGAACAAATTCATTTTTCTAAATTATGTATATATATATATAGATATATATTTCAAAATAATGTTAAGCGTATACATGAATACTCTGATCAAAATTGTAGTTGCAATAAATTACAATTACTTTTATAGTTATTACACTTTATTTTATGATTATTTACACTTTCTAAGATTATAAAATGTTCTACGAAAACGTCTACTCAACCATGAATAGAAAAAGAAATTCAATGTAGAATTAATAGCTAAACACAAATTGACAAAATTTCCAGCTATCAATAAATTTAAACGTACCTCTTCATTTTTGAGATTTGGACGTGAAACTTTAATTAAGTGTACCAAAGCGCTAGGCATAGTTAATACACAGAATGCAACAACAATTAAAATTAACATTAGTGTAATACGTTCTCTTTCATTAAAATAAGAACGTGGTTTATGAATTGTTGTCGATGTACAATTGAACTGTTGTTCATCAATATTTATTGGTAAATTTTCATTTCCAGTCATTTCATAGTCATCTTCTTTATCAATGCTATCATTGATTATTCCAGTGGGTGATATAACAATTCTTTGAGAATGTCGTTGTTGTATATGCTGACTTCTGTGTTTACAGTGTCTTTGATGATTACGTAAGGAATTTTTAATCGAATATTCATTTTGTCCTTCATTTCTTAGTGGTACTGTAATATCTTTAGTTAAATTGGATAAACTATCCGTTCGACAAGTATCATCATAACGAAGTTTAGGCAGGAGAAATACACTCGACTTTTTTGTCAATTTCACGCGTATCTTTGAAGCTTGTATAATAGATTTAATTAGTAGACCATTAAATACTGTTAAAATTATTAATGGTAATATAACAACAAGAATAATTAAAATAACTGGCCATCCAATTCTAATCAGAATTTTGCCTAATTCTGTATTTACCAAATTATAACGCCCAGTAAGTGTAGACATTGGTGTATTACTTCCCTTACTATTCACAGTTATATTATTACGCATTCTTAAGTCATCAACATTATACAAATCATCCTGTATACTATTATTTTCTCCAATACTAGACTCTTCCCTCCATTCTGTAGTGTGCGTCAAAAAGTCTGGAAATGTGACAATAAATGCAAATAAACAAATAGTGAGTATTATCCATTTACAATTTTGTTTTGTACCAATTTTTCTTGCTAACATTGGTGATGAAACAGCTATATAACGTTCAACAGTGAATGCACATGTTAACCAACAAGCTGTATTACTACATAAATTACCAAATGCCATTATATGCGGTAATAAATACATATAAAATTTCTCTTTTTCAAATTCTTTATATGGTCTCAATGAAAGTAGTATTAAAGTAATACCGTAGAATAAATCGCATACAGCTACAGCTAGTAGATATTTATTTGTTGAAGAATTCATTTTTGGTCGAGCTAAAACAAGTATATTTAATACATTTGTTGATATACCAATGATACACACAATTGGAATTAATAATTGTGTACATATTGTTCGTACAAGATTTCTTAACTCATATAAATTGTTTAAATCATTATTTGAACTCAATTCTGTCATATTGAAATGATTCATCATGATATTAGTAGAATTATATAAGATCAGTTTAGATCAAAATTGATTAAGACGATTTAAATTGAACCATTTTACATTATATCAAGCGACATAACTATCATGGACACTGTTTTAGCTTTATCAGTTTGTACTTATCCTAATTATTATCGACCAATCAAAACAAAGTTTCGTTGTAGTCTAGGCAACGTATTATTGGCTCGTTAAAAAATGAGGCGAATTCAAATCATGTTTATACTTCGCTGATTTGTCGCCGTGTTTTTTCTTCTAACATCTAAATTCATGAATAAATATATATTATCTACTCATAATTTACTGATTAAAAACACAGTTTTTAAAAAATTATTTTATTTAACACTGGTTAAGAGGAGACGAAAAGCTGGGATGATTGACATGATAGACATTTACCTTTAATTGTTATATTGTTTTAATGAAATATAATTTATTGATTCTATCATCTTTCTCATAGATGTCGTGTTTTTGACATTTAGGAAACCAGATATGTCCCCTGTGTGAAAACTGCTTAAAGTATTTGGTTACTTTGAGTTAAACCTCAAATTGTCTTCCATCTTGTTTTAATTCATATTCTTACATTTCGTAAATGGATTTTTTGATGATTAAATAAGTATTACACTTAAATAAGTAGTTTTATATGAAAGCTGTTGTTTACGTCCTATTACCACCTGTAAATTTAGACAACAGAAAGGGAAAGACGATAGACATTTTTTCTACACATTTCAATGGGACTTATATCATTAGAGTTAAGAGTCACAACTCTTAGAAAAACACTAGTTTCATTAAATGACATAAACCTGCCTATTATCCATTAATTATTCATTATATCTCATGAAGATGTTTATCATGTTAGGACGAATATTTCACTTATGTTATCACTGACTAAACCATTAAGTGACCCATGTTCAAATCTTTGAGAAATAAACTGTCCAATTTAGATAAGAAAAGTTCACTGTGGAATGAAGTATACAACACTGTGCAGATTGCGTAAAACAATTTAATAAAAGTCATACCTTTCGGATTTCATCATGAACTGACATTGGTTACAGGACCTTTGGAAAATATGGGACTACTGGACAGCTCTTTCGCAGGTGGTTTCGCGCCATGTCATGAACTGGTAGAAGTTGGAATTCACTGACCATGACATCTGGTCCCACCGGCTTAATTGTCGTCGAGCTCTCTTGCAACTAAAAGGTCCTTGGTTCGAACCTCAATGGTTGTGTATAGATGAGGAATCCATAACAAGGACGAAACAGCTGTCCAATACCCTCAGGTTTTCCAATGGTCCTCTAATCAAATACCTGTTAACGAACACTTGAAAAGTCATACTTTATCACAGGTTAACAACTTCACAACCGTACTCTCTGAATATTGCTGACCAGATGAGAAAAAACACATCCTGTCCCCTGAAACTTGTCTAAATTTTATGGTAGCTCAAATAGTCGCTAGCTATTTATGCATATCTTCGTGAAAAGTATTCACGAATTCTGGGCTACCGATATCCACGCTGAAAATTCCATACATGTACCAAAAATACGGTGTGGAATCAAGCTGTAATCAAAAATAAAAATAAAATAAATAAATAAAATACCGTAGATTTAACTGTCACTTTTAAGAATATCGGTGAAAATCTCAAAGCTTGTTTTCATTAATATGTTTATGAATACATATATGAATTTAATTTCCTAAAATCTTTCAAAATCCAGCGTTAATGAACAAAGCATGTCAGTAAAATGATTAACAAACGCTAAGAGAATAATTTTGACAATCCTAGTATATGTGTAGTAGAAGAATTAATTTGAAAATTCCTGCATGACAAATCATTGTTCTAAAGTTCACATTGTTGATCTTCACATATTCCTTAATATCTTTCTTTATTTTTTGGTTGGCTTTTATTTTTAGTGCTGCTAAGTGATGATATTAATGATAATGCGTTGTCTTACCGCCACGACTTTGCTATACTAAAGACAGAGTTACGCCATGGAGTGACTGCTCGATCGTTTATTGTGTGTAGGGAATCGGTTGTCCTGTACGATTGTTACAGGGCGACTTTTAATCCCATGTTTTCGGTAATATTTTCATTGATTCCGATGTAATTTATAATTGTGCTTGTTCAGTTAACTTTGTTGTACGTTACGTATTTTGACTGAGTTAAGCTGCCGGATGGTATCGTTGACGTGGTTTTGTATATTTGATAAAATTTATTATTGTCTATTAGTACTATAGCTTATATCATAGTAAACAGATATGGTTTCAAACGACCGACATACCTAGGTCTACAAGGGCAGGTGAAGTGATCCTTGATAGAAGGATCCCGTAGTCTCTGAAAATGAAGTTTGCAGCAGTCTAGTTGAGAATAGACTTTTCTATTTGACAGTTACTTTTAAATAATCTGAAGGGGAAGATTAAGCAGTCGACCAACTCTGTGTGTGTTTATCAGTTCACCTGCTGCTTCGGAGTTAGCTGTACCTATTGTTCGACGCGGGTTTTGTTCAAAATGGTGCAAAAACACTAGATGTGAGGTTGCAAGCAGCGTAATAATTAGACATCTGTTGATCACTGGCTGCTTTATTTCTACAGTTTCTTTCTTTGAAGTCATTTACGAGGTGAAAAATAACCACCTAAAATCATTACGTATCCAACTCATTTGCACTGCTGAAGATTTGAGCATATGATTAAAAAATTCAGACCTCTGGCATGCAGGGGTCCGTTTATGCTACACTATTATAATCCCCACTACTACTCTGTTACTTCTAATTATTCCCCGTATTTATGTAGCTTCTACACCGTTGCCTTATTATTATGTGAACTCTTACTAATAATTCCGCTTTGAACAGTTCTCGCTATTTTCTGAATTTTCACCTTTGTTTATTTGTTTCGGTATAATACTTAGCACTGTTTGCTTGTCCTAATAACCATATTGTTGCGTAATATTTTAATGGCTTACTAGTCTTACTATTCCCAGGCCTTACTCTGAGATTTCTATATTTCAGTAACCATTTCGTAAAGTGAACTAATTTTTTATCACAATTAACATTAGTATTTCTTTAAAATCATATACATGCAAATTTACTTCAAATGAACTGTCGTCTAGATTTGACAGAATAGTTCTAAAATATCTGGGCGCCGAGTGAGAAGTAGACATCTGTAAAAAAAATTATACTTGTTAAATCTCAACGAGATTGAAATGAGTAATTTCAACTTTTCATTCGGCAGTCTGGTCCGAACTTCTTCAGGGAAATTAATCGACATTAATATAACAGATGTTTATAATAAATTGATAATAAATTCGTTTTAAACAGACTCTTCGTTGAATCTCCTGTTTCGACTTTCAGTATGTTCTATTGTGGATTTCCCATGAAGCATTTCTGTTTATCGTCCCTTGATAGTGCGATATATCTAGTGGTTTCTAAGTCGCGGATTGATCGGATCCGTTGAAAGAACGTTCATTGCTGCAGATCCAAAATTTCGTTATTCTGACTGATACTCTCATGGGGCATTGAATATTAATTACCAGTGATGGTAAATTTAATATGTATATACATATCTGAAGCCTAGTCACCTTTGAATTGCAAATTTACGAGTTTAGTTTTCTTTCGACCTGAGTCGATGACCAGTTCAGACTACTTATCTTCTGTGTTTTTGTTAATAAATAGGTTGAGGTAACCGTTTTCTGTGAGTGCGTCCTTTAGGAATAAAAGTCTCAAGTCAGAACAGTGAGATCTACGACCGTCTCTTATCCCAAAGCAGTACGAATGAATTAAGTTCCTTTTCCTGGAGATAGACATCCAGCCATAAAAACTAGTTAGTCATCCATTCCATGTATGTTTGCAGTAAGTGGATCTTTTGAGAGGTCCGTCATTATCTCTACTAACGTACACATCAGAAGGGGAATGCTTAGTTCAGATTCTTTTTTTCTATGGTGAACTGCAAACAAAAATGAGAGTTGTTGGATGCAGGCAAGATATAATCAAGATTTACGTTCTTATCGCAGATAACGAAAGTGTCGTCTACATATCTTGAATAATCTTCAAGCTGTCCATGGTTTCATTAAGTTGAGAGTTTCCAAGCTTTGTCATAAAACAAACAGCCAGCATTAGACCCGGCGCAATCCCATCACAATGCCATTTATCTGTTTCCCATTGATGATATATTTAAATTTATTGCAAATATTAAATGTTTGTTTCCATGCTCATATTTTACACACCTGTTATTCGTTGTAATCATGAGTCATTTTGTTTACAAGCCTCTCGTAAACCATATCTAGTTGAAAATAATTATCACCTTTTATTCGCCCGCATAATTATGTGGAATCAAGGAAAAATTGTATCTATATGAAATTATGTATTTGAGTGAGATTGTACAGCTTTCGTAAAAATGAAATCGCCTAAAAGATATCTTTGCTGAACTTCGCGTTCTCTTCTTTCAAATGTTCTAGTGGGTATTTCTCAGTGTAACTCTTATGGAAACTATTTGCTATCTATGTGACTATATTGATGCACACAGTTGAAACATAGGACTGTCGAGAACCTACCTCAAAGAACTCTTATTGAGATGCATGTTGAATGTTCAGCTCACTTTCAGTAATGAGGGTTTTAGACGGATAGAGAGCATAGCGATGGCACTGCTACTTAGTCCACTGCTGGTTGACTTTTTTTAATGCAAAGCCATATATATTATAGCTACGATTTCTCTAACTGAAGTGCTAGAGGTTCAGTAATGTGTTTTTGAAGTTGAACAAACACCTCAACAAAGGCTCCCTTCCAGGTAGTCTACAAAGTAAAGAATAACCTGTCAAGAACAATACGCTTTCGTTTCCTTTGTATTAATGAAGATTGAGTCATTCAGTGAGAAAGACCGAAGCTCTGCATAAAAAAGAAAATTATTCAACTAATTCTACCCTGACTGTAATAACCTTATTGATTTCTATTGGCTCAAGTTTGGTTTGTTTGTTTTTCTAACTCCTTATATCTTTAGTATTCTATTAGAAC